TAATAATGTAGTAGTCGTAGTAATAATAGCAGTTGTAGGCGGCAGTAGTAGTAGTAGTAGCAGTAGTAGTAGTAGTAGCAGCAGGCAGCAGCAGCTAGTAGTAGTAGTAGTAGTAGTAGTAGTAGTAGTAGTAGTAGTAGTAACAGGTAGTAGCAACAGTAGTAGTAGTAGTAGTAGTAGTAGTAGTAGTAGTAGTAGTAGTAGTAGTAGTGGTAGTAGAGTAGTAGTAGTAGTAGTAGTCGTAGTCGTAGTAGTCGTAGTCGTAGTCGTAGTAGTAGTAGTAGTAGTAGTAGTAGTAGTAGTAGTAGTAGTAGTAGTAGTAGTAGTAGTAGTAGTAGAAGTAGTACGACTACTACTGCGACTACTACTATTAGTCCTAGTTCATAGTACTCGTAGCAGCCGTCGTCTTCGTAGCAGTAGCAGTAGCAGTGGTAGTCGTAGTTGCAGTAGTAGTAGTCGTAGTAGTAGTCGTAGTAGTAGTAGTAGTAGTAGTAGTAGTAGTAGTAGTCGTAGTAGTAGTAGTAGTAGTAGTAGTAGTAGTAGTAGTAGTAGTGGTAGTAGTAGTAGTAGTAGTAGTACAAGTAGAAGTAATACTAGTAGTAGTAGTAGTAGTAGTAGTAGTAGTAGTTGTTGTAGTAGTAGTAGAAGTAGTAGTAGTAGAAGTAGTAGTAGTAGTAGTAGTAGCAGTCGTAGTTTGAATGGTAGTAGTAGTTCTAGTAGTCGTTATAGTACTGGCGGTCGTACTCGCAGTCGTAGTAGTAGTAGTAGTAGTAGTAGTAGTAGTAGTAGTAGTAGTAGTAGTAGTAGTAGTAGTAGTAGTAGTGGTTATCGGAGTAGTAGCAGTAGTGGTAGCAGTAGTACTAGTAGTCGTCGTAGTGGCCGTCGCAGTAGTAGTCGTAGTAGTCGTCGTCGTAGCAGTAGAAGCCGTAGTCGTAGTAGTAGTAGAGGTATTAGTATTGGTAGTAGTAGTAGTAGTAGTAGTAGTAGTAGTAGTAGTAGTAGTAGTAGTAGTAGTAGTAGTAGTAGTAGTAGTAGTAGTAGTAGTAGTATAGTAGTAGTAGTGGTAGTAGTAGTAGTAGTAGTAGTAGTAGTAGTAGTAGTAGTAGTAGTAGTAGTAGTAGTAGTGTAGTAGTAGTAGTAGTAGTAGTAGTAGTGGTAGTATTAGTCTTAATAGTAGCAGGAGTAGTAGTAGTGGAAGTAGTACTAGGCATTATAGTAGTCGTAGGAGTAGTAGTAGTAGTAGTAGTAGTAGTAGTAGTAGTAGTAGGTTGTAGTAGTAGTAGCATAGTCGTAGTAGTACTAGTAGTATGTAGTAGTAGTAGTAGTAGTAGTAGTAGTATAGTAATAGAAGAAGTAGTACTAGTAGTCGTAGTGGTGGACGTATGGCTGCCGTTGTAGTAGTTGTAACAGTCGTAGTATTCGTAGTAGTAGTAGTAGTTAGTCGTAGTCGTAGTAAGTAGTAGTAGTAGTAGTAGTAGTAGTAGTAGTAGTAGTAGTGTAGTAGTCGTAGTAGTGTAGTAGTAGTAGTAGTAGTAGTAGTAGTAGAAGTAGTAGTAGTGTAGTAGTAGTAGTAGTAGAGTAGTAGTAGTAGTAGTAGTAGTAGTAGTAGTAGTAGTAGTAGTAGTGGTAGTAGTAGTAGTAGTAGTAGTAGTAGTATTACACGTAGCAGTAGTGGTAGTAGTGGTAGTAGTCGTCGTAGTAGTAGTGGCAGGAGTAGGTGTAGTAGTGGTAGTAGTCGTCGGCGTAGTAGTAGTACTGGTGGTAGTAGTAGCAGTCGTAGCAGTGGTAACGGTAGTGTCAGCGGTAGCTGCTGTAGAAGTAGAAGTACCAGAAGTAGAACTAGTAGTCGTAGCAGTAGTAGAAGTAGCAGTAATCAGTAGCAGTGTTTGTAGTTTGTAATTTGATATTCGTTTGCGGATTACTATGGCTTGTAGTAGTAGTAGTAGTAGTAGTAGTAGTAGTAGTAGTAGTAGTAGTATCAGTAGTAGTAGTAGTAGTTGTAGTAGTTGTAGTAGTTGTAGTAGTCGTAGTAGTAGTCACAGTAGTAGTAGTAGTAGTAGTAGTAGTAGTCGTAGTCGTAGTCGTAGTCGTAGTAGTAGTAGTAGTAGTAGTAGTAGTAGTAGTAGTAGTCGTAGTAGTAGTAGTAGTAGTAGTAGTAGTAGTAGTAGTAGTAGCAACTAGTAGTAGTAGTAGTAGTAGTATCAGCAGCAGCAGCAGCAGCAGCAGCAGCAGCAGCAGCAGCAGCAGTAGTAGTAGTAGTAGTAGTAGTAGTAGTAGTAGTAGTAGTAGTAGTAGTAGTCGCCTTTGAGAGAGCCTTTTGGGTCTCTTAGACAGCCTCTTGGGCCTATGATAGGGAGCATCTTCGGTCTCCGAGACATCGTCTGGGGCCTCTGAAGGGGCTTCTTGGGCCTCTGAGAGAGAGAGAGAGAGAGAGAGAGAGAGATTATTTTTGGCCTTTAGGAGAACCTCTTGGGCCTGTGAGAGTGCTTTTTGGGCCACAGAGCCTCTTGGGCCTCTTAGAGAGCCATTTTGGCTTCTGAGAGAGCCGTTTAGGCCTCTGAGAGAGCCGTTTAGGCCTCTGACAGAGCCTCTTGGGCTTCTGAGAGAGCCGTTTAGGCTTCCGAGGGAGCTTCACAGGCCTCTGAAAGAGCCTCTTGGGCCTGTGAGAGAGCCTCTATGGCCTCTGCGAGATTTTCGTGGGCCTCTGAATGAGCCTCTTGGGCCTCTGAGACAGCTTCTTGGGCCTCTGAGAGAGAGCCTCTGGGGCCTCTGAGGGAGCCTCATGGGCCCCAGAGAGATCTTCGTGGGCCTCTGCGAGCACCTTGGGCCTCTGCAACATCCTCTTGGGCCTCTGAGAGAGCCTCTTGGGCCCCTGAGAGATGAGATGATCTACTCACCGGACGTGCGTCGCCACCGACGCCGTTTAGTTCAAGTGGTTGATCGTTCGCACTCGCGTCGGGTGCAGCAGTTTCGAGAAAACATCGTTATCGTTCCCGCGCGTATCTTCCTCAAGGATTTGCACAGCGACGATGGCGATAGCAGCCGGCGCGGTCGCAGGACTTCCGTCCTCCTTGCCCCTACGCGGAGGGGGCGGGCGGCCATCCTGCAGGGCAAATCCGCGCCTAATCACAAGCTCCTGCAGTGTTGGCGGCCGTCGCAGGGGCGACGAGGTCGGCAGCGAATTCCAGATCGAAGACGCCAGCGGCGAATCGCTCCTGCCCCCTGCCTCTTTGGAAGCGCCTCTGTGGCCCGAGCTGCCGGGTATTCCGTTTCCCGGCGTCGTCGCCATTCGTCGTCGTGGTCTGTCGCGGGCCAGGGATAGTCAGTCGCCGTCTTGTTCGGGCGTCCGTCGTCGGCCGTCGTCGGTCGCCGCCGCCGGGGTGCTCTCTCGCGCGCCCGCGCCGCCCCCAGTGGAGTTGAGGAGGGCGAGGAGAGTGAGAAGGGCGAGGATGAGGAGGAGTAGGAGGACGTGGAAGTGGCGGGGGAGGATGGGGATCAGGACGATGAGGATGACGAGCATTACAGGGGAGGAGGATGAGGAGGAGGAGGAGTGGGGGACTCGTCTCACCACACAAAATGTATGTGAACGGCATCCCAGTGGACATAGAAACACCCACGTTGAGGACCCGTGGGCGGCGCAGGACACAGAAACGCCCAACGGGGACACAACAACACCCAGTTGGACACAGAAAGACCCTGTCGCGGGGGAAGGGGCGGTCGGAAACCCAATCCGCTTTCATCGCTTTCCTACTTCATGCTTCTACCCACTTCTTCCGAACGACGGGAATGCTCGTCTCGGGTCCAGGCCCGCGCTCGCACGCAGTGCGTTCGCACGTGTGCACTCGATCCTCTCGCTCCTCCGCCTCCTTCGTGCCCCCCCCAGGAGCTCGTGGTGACGCGCCCGCAGTACTCAGCCCTGTTTGGTTTCTTCGACCGCGACGGGGTTGGATCGGTCTCGCAGGCGTGGAGGAGGAGGAGGAGGAGGAGGAGGAGGAGGGGGAGTGGAGGTGTACGAGGATCATGACGAGGGGAACCAGAGAAGGAAGAACACGGGTGGGATGAGGACGGCGAGACAGATGGGGCTGAGGATGCCGAAGAGAAGGTCGCGCGTGTTGGGGAGGATGGGGTGACAGAGGGTGAGGAGGCAGCGGAGGAGAATCTGCAGGATACGGAGGTCACGAGGATGTTCAGACGCAGAAAGAAGTAGGGGTATAACGGAGCAGGAGCGCGAGGCGCATGCGGAGGCCTCAGCGCCGTGTTGAAGAGCGTCCGTCATTTTCCAAACCAGGCCCGTCGATCGATTCTCAAGTTTCGCATCAATAGTTGAAACACTACGAAGCACTTACACAATCGGAGGACGGCGTTTTTTTCAGGGTTCGCCTCCTTACCCGAGACCACACATGTTAGTTTGTGCAGCAGTTACCCTGGCGGAGGGTGGCTCGTGTTGAACATCGACTGGCGGTTCCTTTTCGATCCATGGTTCTCGCTGGACATGTCCTTGGACTTTCTGATCCTGCCTTTCCTCATGCTTGATAGCCCGAAGGATGCATGGCAGTCCCCATTCAGAACTGGGCTCTGGCCTGATGGGCAGGCCCGCAAAGCGCCCGTTCTTCCATGGGGGCGCTTCTCGCTGTGGCACGGAATGCTGGCACGGAACTCCGATGAAGGGACTTTGGACGGGATGGTCTATCAGGCAGATTGCGGCAGTTCCTGCCGCCGTGCCAGCTCAGCACCCAGTGTGGCGACGCTTCGCTCTCCGTCGCTCCCCTCTCTCCTCCCCCCACTGTGCACGGTACTGTAGTCATGCTCTCCCCTCCGCTCTTTGTTGCTCCCCCTCGCTTCCTTGCACCGCTCGTGCGGGACCCTGGTGCGCGCACCGCTTTCGATTGGCCTCCGCACCCACGAGCCTCGGCCTGTCGTTCTTCTCCTCTCCTCTGCTCCGCTCCCCCGCCTTTGATTGACGTGCTGGTTCTCGAGTGTCGCGTGGGCCGATCGCCTTCGGTCATGCGGCTCGCCTCGAGGTGCTTGTCTTGTGCTTTTGCGTTTCAAGGCTCATCTGGAGAATATTGCATGCGGACGCGTGCGAAACGACGACAATCAGTCGGCCCTCCTTCTCACTCTGCGGCGCAGCCATGCTGTCGTGATATGCAGTGATAGAGGGTGGAGTCATGAATTATCGGTGCGTTGCGGGAAAAAAAAACAGTGTGGCGACGCTTCGAGCCCAGCCTCGAAGGCCGCACCATGAGACATCATCTGGCGCTCAGCATCGTTGGAGTATTCAGGGTTTTCTCATGTCTTCCCTCCTCCCTCCTCCCTGCTCCGCCCCCACGGCCGCCTGCTCGGCCAACATACTCCACGAATTCGTTCGTTTTACCTGCTCACGACCATGAGGAGGTCGAAGGAGGAGGAATGCACGTCGTGCCACTGTTTGGCGAAGACCCTGCAGTCTCGCAGGAAGCTGGAGCAGCCTGGAGCAGCGTGCAAGCCCGCTGCCCTCCAACTGTTTTTGATACCGGCGGTCAGAGCGGAGCGGCACGGAGGCGTCCTTCATAGGGCGCGATATGGTGTTGTCCGTCACGCTTTGTCCGCCCTCGGCTTCGATCAGCCAGCCCGCCCTGGCACCATAGGCCTTCGTTTTGAAGACCACGTGGTGCAGGCGGCCTGCATGTACCTCGTCTGTTGGCGATGCGGGACGCCCGCCCGCATCGAGGCGCCAGGCTGGCTCCAGCTGCTCCTGCCCTGTCTAGGCGAGTCGTCGGCGGTCCAGAAGTGGCTTCGGGACGATGTCCTGGCCTGGCGCGAGCCTCCCGGGCAGCTCCCCGCTCGTTTGCGAGGCTCGGCCTGCGCGGGTTAAGTGCGTTGAAGGTGCGCCCACCGCCGCTCCCATTTTTCCTAGAGGCGTGCGTTTTCCCGACGTTACCAGGCAGTGCTTGCTCCAGACGCTGCTTTTTGGACTGGTGCCTCCTTCTCCTCCTTTTCCTGCTGCTCCTCCTCTTCCGGCTCCTCCTCCTCTCACGAATTCAGTCGACCCCAGGACGTGCCCGCGGATGCGTCTTGAGGAGGGGTCACGGACAAGGCAGAGGCGTCAAGATTCCACAATGAATTTCACAGGCCACATAAGACGTCTTCCTTCTCCTCCTCCTCTCCTCGTCCTCGTCGTTCTCATCATCATCATCATCATCATCATCATCATCATCATCATCATCATCATCATCATCATCATCATCAGCATCATCATCACCAGCATCATCATCATTATCATTATCAGTATCATCATCATCATCATCACCATCATCCTTATCATCATCATCATGATCATCACCATCACCATCATCATCACCAGCATCACCATCATCACCATCATCATCATTCTTATCATCGTTATCGTCGTCGTCATCATGATCATCGCCGTCACCATCATCGTCATCATCAACATCATCATCATCATCATCACCATCATCGTCGTCTTCATCATTGTTGTCGTCGTCGTCATCATCATCATCACCATCACCATCACCAGTATCATCATCACCACTCATCACCAGCATCATCACCATCACCATCACCATCATCATCATCCTCCTCCTCCTCCTCATCCTCATCCTCATCCTCATCCTCATCCTCATCCTCCTCATCCTCCTCCTCCTCCTCCTCCTCATCATCATCATCATCGTCATGCTCCCCCTCCCCCCCCCCATGGGGCAGTGCCGCCCGTAAAGGCGCTCGCACTGCGACCCTTGAGCGTTGACTGGTGCCGCCCTCCTCTGGGGGTTCCCCGACAAAGCGTCAGGCACGTGCAGAGAGGGAGCCCGATCCTTGATCCCCAGACATCTTCCGACGTGTGTTTTTCAAGTCCGCGGCCCCAGAGCTTCCCACCCCTCCCCCAGAGGTGGTTTTGCGCCCCGGATGCATCTTTCAATGGCCCCGGGGCCTGTGAGAGGGCCCCAGAGGCCGAGATCGAGAAAACGCGGCGGGATTGAAGAATCAGATCGTCCGAGATCCGGGCCGATGCTCGATCCGCGCACGCGCGAGACCACCTTCCCCGACTTCGTCCGCTATGTGGCGGTCATGGCCTACCTCGGCGCTTGCCAGGACCAGGGCCTGGCCGGCCTCGGCTGGTGGTCGCCTCACCGGCAGGAGTAGGGCAGGAGGGCAAGAGGGGGGAGAGGAGGGAGAGGAGTGGAGGCGATAATTTAGTCTGTGATGCGCTGAGGCTATAGGATAGGTGGGAGCTGGGAGTATCGGGCTAGCCTTGTTTGGTTTCGCAGTCTTGGGAGGAGCGCGCCTCACGGGCGTGTGATGTGGTGGGCCGCTCGGGTGGCTGCCCAGTTACCACGTCCCCACTGGCACGCAGGCGCACCTCGCCGAGTGGGACAGGTCTGGAGGCCATGTAGCCGTCCGCAAACTGGAACAGCTGAGGGCGCCAGGCGCGACAATACTGGACGAACGCGTTCGTCGGAAGCAACGATAGGGGGGGATAGGCATAGGGGGGATGCATCGACCCCCAATGTCCCATTGATCGCCGATAGGGACCCGGTAGCCCCAACCCGTCCAGGAAGGTGTTGGTTCACTATCGGGGGCCTTTCGCCGATCTATCGACGATGTATCGCCGATTCGGAATCGACTGCATCGATTCGATGCATCCCCCCTATGCCAGTCCCCCTTTATCGTTGCCCCTCTGTTCGAGGGGGATCACGTTCGCGCAGCCGCGAGACCGGCGCCTAGCGGCGCGCGGGTCGCCCTGCAGGGGCCGCCCGCTTCGGGAGGCCCGCTCCCATCTCCCCGGCCGTCGCCCGGCCCGACCCCGGCGGCCGCCGACGATGGGCCCGATGCTGTCGCTCCTGTGGGGGATGGCGCTGGAGGGTCTGCTCGCGGTTGCTTCCCCTCTCCTCCTCTTCCTTGCACCCCCTTCCTTCGCTTTCCTTTCCCTTTCCTTCCCTTTCCTTTCCTTTCTCCTCCCTGGCTCCCTGCCTACTGTCTCCGCCTGGCCCCCCTTCCGCCTGCCCGACCGCCCCGCGGGCTCTGGCCTCCCGCCTGGGTGTTCGTCGATGATTCCTCTCGCTTCGCGGGGTGCGCGCCCGGAGCACGTACAGTGACGTCGTCGCGGAGCCTCTTGACGGCCTCTTGGGGGCCTCCTGGAGGCCTCCTGGGAGCTTCCTTGGGCCTCTTGGGGGCTTCTTTGGGGCCTCTCCCCCCTCCCTCCTTGTCAAACTCCCTCCCCATATTTCCTTCCAGCGCCGGCTCTAATCATGGGCGCCGCTGTGACCAACTTCCACCTGGCTGGCGCTGCGCCGCAGTTCGCCCAGGTTGGAAAAATGACATTACACTCCAGTTGCTGTGTGGCCTTCGGGTGGCTTCTTTGGAGCCTTTGGGAGGCTTCTTGAAGACATCTTGGAGGCCTCTTTGGGTTTTTTGGGGGCCCCTTGGGGTCCTCTTGGGGGCCTCTTGGGGCCTCTTGGGGGCGTCATTGGCCGTATTGGGGCGCTTTTGCGCCGTTTCGCCCCTCCGGAGGCCGTCTTGGGGGCCTCTCGCGGCCGCCTTGGAGCCGTCTTGGGGTCCTCTTGGGCCGTCTTCGCGGCCTCTTGGACCGTCTTGGGGGCCTCCTTGGGCCGTCTTGGGGTTTTGTTGGGCCGTCTCGGGGCCCTCTTGGGGGTTTTTTGGGGTTGCGCTGGAGCGATTTGCGAAGCTGCTTGGGCCGCAAAGACGAGAATGCTAAACTAGTGCCCGAACCATAGGACAATCAATGATTTCGGCCTCTGGAGGCGCAGTTGTGGGCGCTCTTGGGGCCCTCTTGGGCCGTCATTTGGGCTTTTGGGGCCCTCTTGGAACCATCTCGGACCGTCTCGGGGCCGTTTTGGCCCGCACAGAGCCCATCTTGAACCGTCTTGGCGCCCGTCGGCCCCCCAAGAGGCCCAAGAGGTCGAAATCATCGATTTTCTATAAGTTTTGGTCGGTTTCTGAGCCCCGGGGGGGGGGGCACTTTGGTCCGGCGGTGTGGCGCAGCTCCCACGGGGGGTTAGGGGGGGAGACATAATAATGTAACGCGATACAACATGTGGCAAGTATGCAATCATTTGATAAATTGGATACGTTGCAGTAAGGCGTTCGCCGAAAAACGCTGCCGCTCAGCACGTCACCTCCGGACGTGGATTCCTCTCGCTTCGCGGGGTGCACGTCCGGAGCACGTACAGTGACGTCGTCGCGGAGCCTCTTGACGGCCTCTTGGGGGCCTCCTGGAGGCCTCCTGGGAGCTTCCTTGGGCCTCTTGGGGGCTTCTTTGGGGCCTCTCCCCCCTCCCTCCTTGTCAAATTCCCTCCCCATATTTCCTTCCAGCGCCGGCTCTAATCATGGGCGCCGCTGTGACCAACTTCCACCTGGCTGGCGCTGCGCCGCAGTTCGCCCAGGTTGGAAAAATGGCATTGCACTCCAGTTGCTGCGTGGCCTTTGGTTTTTTACCTAACAGCGAAGACTGATAGGTTTCTAGTTGATTCAAAAGAGCTCACAGATCACTCCACAGGGGGGTCCGGGCAGGTGTTGGGGAGTTGCCGGGCGGCAGGGTGCCGGGCTCGTTTTTCACCAACAGTCACACACTTCGTGCTCTTCGACTTCCCAGAACTCCATTCCCAGGCCACATTCTCAATACCCGGATGCAACAGTCACACACAACGTGCTCTTCGAGATCCCAGAACGCCATTCCCGGGCCACATTTAGAATAACCGGATGCAACAGTCACACACTTCGTGCTCTTCGAGTTCCCAGAACTTCATTCCCGGGCCACATTCTGGAGGGCCGGATGCAACAGTCACACACTTCGTGCTCTTCGAGTTCCCAGAACTCCATTCCCGGGCCACATTCTGGAGGGCCGGATGCAACAGTCACACACTTCGTGCTCTTTGAGTTCCCAGAACTCCATTCCCGGGCCACATTCTGGAGGGCCGGATGCAACAGTCATACACTTCGTGCTCTTCGAGTTCCCAGAACTCCATTCCCGGGCCACATT